TTGACGTGTAATTTTATTCTAAATTCTGAAACTGTTTTTAAAACATTTAATTTTAGAAATTATTATTAATAATTAAAGTTTTTAAAGATCTTGCCATCATTTGGATATTGTGAAGTTGACATATCCACACATTTGTTTCTCTTTACTCTGCAGTCTGACGTTAGTGACGTCATAGACGTAGTGATTGAATTCTCAGTGCAACGGGATCAAGTGCACACACTCCTCATGATCAATTTATTTTATAATAAACAGGTCACAGTCAATGTATCATGATAAATTTCTGAAGAAAAATTTTTTAATTAATATTATTTCGTGTTTGGTAGCAGAGCTTCCCTCTATTTAGATAATTTTGAATGTTTATGTTTTCGTGTGACGTCAAAATTGATTTCCCGCACTCGGAAAATACAAATGTGAAGCGTTTTTATCATGCTTACGTTTAATTCAACGATGTCCTGTGCGATATTGAGGTAAGCTTCACTCTGTGATATTTATGCAGTAAATAATTACAATGAAGGACTGACATTCAATCGTAAATTTAGAAATATTTATTGACAGAATTTTTTTTCCAAATGAGGTTTTTGTCGTTGAAGATACCTTGAAAAATGCAGAAATTATTCCACCCAAATACTATATAAAATTAAAACCAATTGCTTTCAGATAATTTAAACCCTATGAATATTCTGAAATATTTAAGTATATATAGTGTTATCTATCAAATTTATCGTTTGTGCATAAAAATTTGCATTATGGACTCTTATGGGCCCGTAAACATGAAGTATCTAAACTCCATTCAAACTCTACATAGGGCGGTATTTGTGGGGCGATATCTTTTAAATAAGTCAAGAAATCCCATGACAGGACCGTTTTAAAATGTTAAGTACACATTAAATTAGTAATATAAAAAATACGAAAAAAATTCATTGACGGGAATTTTTTCAACTAAAGGTCCTGTTCCTCCTTAAGAAGAAATTTTTTTAGGCATTATTCATAATATGTATATTGATCATGATGTATGCCAATATTTAACTTTATAGTCATACTAAAACAAGAGGCATTGAAAAAGTTCGCGTTTTTCTTTGACAACCCTCGTATTGGTAAGGGATGCATGCGCACAGGTATACACGTACAATGATTTAAGGGATACTTATGGAATCACAATTTACTATCGCATCATCGCACCATCGAGGTTTTGGTCGATGATGCAATGGCACGATAATGCAATGGCGATGAAGCGATGGTGCGATAACACGATGACGATGATATGAAGGCGTGACAATGCGATGATGATGGTGCAATAGCAATAGCAATATCGGGTAGTACGATGGTGTGATAGTGATGACACGATGGTGCGATGGCGCAATTCTCCACGCTATTGCACCATCGTTGTAGCATTATCGCAAAATCGCATTAACGTCATCGCACCAAGGCTCTATCGTCATTGCACAATCGCTTCATCGTTATGGCATCATTGACCTTTAAGTCTATGCTCGATGACGTTATAGTGAACTGCATGCATGGCTCTATCCGGAGTCCATATATATAGAATGGTCACATAAACAACATGTCTTTGATTTTATTTAGATCTAGGGAAATAAATAAATCTAATGGATATGTTGCTAAAATAATTTTTAAAAAAGGGTGATCAAGAGATTTATTTGCCTGGTAATCATAATGAAAAAACACAATACACCGAAATGTACGCACACAGTAAACCAAGCAGAATTTCTGTTCTATTAGCCTCTAAGAACTTGATCTTTGAATCATATATGATGAATAATTATAAGATATTTTATTTCACTTTTATTAATCTATTATTTTGTGTATATGATCATTAAAAACAATAAAATCACTATCTGTAAAATACATTCAACATTCATTTAAACACATTTGTAAAAAATAATTAGTTTACCTTTCAATTATACCTTTTCACAATAAATAAAGATCAAATCATGTGTATAACAAAGAGGAAGTAAAATAAATATTTTTATATTTATCATAATAGTGCATAGCACCAGTGCCTTTGAACTAGTGTCATGAGTGTCACAAATCTGGTAAAACTTCCTTGCTCAATACAACTTTGTACACTAATATATACCCGAGGGTAGAGAAGATTTTTAAAGAAATGTTGCATAAACACTTAAAGATCATTTAAAAACCGTACCAATACAAAACCTCTGACACATGGACTGTGAATTTCACAATCTTTGTTCATCATAACCTTCTCGAGCATGCTTGAGATTCATGGCGAGAAACATTTGCGCTGCGTAGCCTCTTTTATTTATTTTAAAATTCTCACCGATGAACCCCAGTGAGAAATTAATAACTAAAAGTAACTGATGATACTATGGCTCTACTGGTATACATACATGTACAACAAAAGAATTAACAATAAATAGAACTAGAACTGTCCAAAAGGGACGAAATAACCCCACCACAGACTATTTTTTCAGAGAAGGTGCCAGATCATGAATATTTTAGGGACCTAAGAGAAGACATGAATGCTAAAACATTTTGTGAGCAAATATAATTGCTTATATTATTTTATGAATGAAACGAAGGTGCAGCCTATCAAAAAAATAAATACTAAAGATAGAGAGCAGACACAAATTATGAACTTTTTTCTGTCAGTGACCTTGAACTTGCATTAATGACCTTGATTCAAAATCATGACACACCCTCAAGTCATAAGCAATCTTTGTGTAAAATGGGAACTCACATTTACCCATAAGAAATATATATACCGGGCATGAATTATATTTTTTCTATCAGTGTCCTTAAGCTTACACAAATGACATTGGACCAAAGTCATGACACAGCACAGACTGTAGACGGGATAGCATTTTGAACGAATTTCACAGAATTTTCAAGTTTTAGTGACTATGGCAACAACATTCAATGAAATTAAATATGATTCACTCAATAAAATAATGAACCTAATTGAAGTCTACTTGTGTGCGAAGTTATATTGAAATCAGATCAAAACGGTAGGAGTAATGCTTTAAAGGAATTGCACAGAAATTTCTAATTTAAGTTACCATGGCAACACCGTCCATCGTAATAAAAAAAGATGCAAGAAATTCTGGAAGAATTTCATAAGATTTGAGATACTTTTCTCTTCGGAAAACAAAGAGCACAAGATTGTCTATCTGAGATTTTAACACAAAAATTTCATCTGACATTTGTTTTCTTAAATATATATATCTGGTAGATAGATAAGCTTGTTCTCTATGTTTTCGGAGACAAATGTGCTGTAAAATTGATGAAAATTTGCACAAAAATGAGAAAATTCGAAAAATTTGCATATTTTCTTACCTTTCTATGTATTTCAAAACTAAGAACCAATATTCATGCTGTGACAGGGATGACAACAGTTTATTTTTATGGATAAACTGTTTATTCATGCTGAAAGACACACAAAGGGGCCAAAAAGGAGTCTTGTCCTATCTTGTGCGTTTCATTTGAGTAACCATGACAATACTATTCATTGAAATAAAAACAATGATTTATTAAATCATGTATATTAGTGTAGTCTACTTCTGTGCCAAGTAATATTGAAATTGGACCAAAACTGAAGAGAATAAGCGTTTTCAAGGAACTCTATTTTTAGTGTCCATATCAACAGCGTTCATTGAAATAAAAAAAGGAACAAATGATTATGCGTTTTAGTGTAGTCTACTTGTTTACCAGGTTATATTGAAAATGGACCAAACCTATAGAAGAAGTAGCTTTTTACAAAAAAAAAAAATATCTTAATGTAGTCTACATGTGTGTCAAGTTATATTGAAATCACACCAAAACTGTAGGAGGAGTAGCATTTTGAAAGAAAAAATATTTACAGACAGACAGACAGACGGACGGACGCCGGACGTAATACTATCGCATAAGCTCTTCTGGTCTTCTGACCAGTAGAGCTAAAACGACAATTTTTTTTATTAGTGAGTACATGTAAAAATTCTTATTGACTAAAGTAAATGTTATGATTTTAGTGACTTAGTCGAAACTAGCTCGTTAGAAAATGGGTCCGAGGTACAGTTGTATAAAAGAGATAGGGACGTTAACGGACTTTTACTCGTAGCAGAAAAATATTATGGTTTCTAAATTAACAGAGAATAGAAAATTTCAGAGAATTAATGTATCTTCACTTTAAAATAAATAAAGCCAAGACAAAACACCACAACCCTCCAAGACTCGGAGGTATACATAAAATGTTTCAAATTTTGAAAAATGGAATCTTGCTGCTCCTCATAACATGCACTTAACTTTATCTGCTAAAAACCAAGGAATAAAGAATTAAAAGAAGAAAATTCATTTTCTTAATATCAACGATATGATCATTGAATAGAAAGATAGACCAGAGGTCTGTTTTACAAAAGAACTTACGACCAAGACGAGAACGTTAAAATGATTATAACATTTAACAAAATTAATTATTGGGTTGAAAATTGCTAGCGTAAAATATCTTTCTTTATTTTTTTTTTTTAGAGATCAATAAAATTTTTAACTCAATCGAAATTAAAAAGTTAAAGGCAGACCTTAGTTTGGTCTAAGTCATAAATTCTGTGTAAAACAGGGCCCCTGTCCTTAAGTTTCAGCTTCATTGTTTAAAAAAGAATTATGCACTATATATAATTACTCGTATTAAAAAAAAAATAAAAAGAAAACACAAAAATCCTTGTTAATTCTCTGTTGATTACTCGTATATATTCTTAACAAAGTTTGAAGAACAGTTTTTCAAAGTAAGTGTACATCGATTTTCATAAATGAATCATTTTTTTGACAAAATGATATTAAAAAAAATATGACTAAACAAAAGCAAAAGTTATTTATCGCACTTACAATATCTTTGCATTAAAAAAAAAACAAACAACCAATAACAACAAACAAAACTAATTTATAAGGCAGACATAACATTTTCTGTAAACTCTGACTATGGCGATCATAAATATAACTGATTGATTCTTTACTCTTTACAATAAAAATATCAAAATTAAAAAAAAAATTTTAGGTGCCATATATTTCAATTTTCTTTAAAGGACGTATTCACATATATATTTCCTTGGGATAGCATCTTCGAATTTGCATATACACTGTCTTTCCCACCTACAAATTGAATAAATTATTTGTGAATCCTTTTGTTCAGGAAAATTAATAAACAATGCATAGATAAAAGTAAATGTTCTTAGAATTTGCAACATTTGGCGCCTAAGCAATCAATTTAAAAATTCATTGTGGAGATCGACAAAAACTTTTACTATCATAGATAGAAAAAAATCGTGGACATTGAACTCCCGATGATATGAATTATGGCAAGATTATAGATACGCCTAATAGGATAACCAATCAGTAAATAAACGTCACTAGTGCCTGAAAATTTCATTCACATTTAATTCTTCTACTTTTTAAAATATTAAAAAAAACATTCTGTAGGTTATATTTATTTTTTAACAAAACAAGTTGAAAAAGTATGTGTCAGTTTTTTCTTGTCGCTACGGTGGATGATACACATACTCAAATTACTTATGATGAGATGAAAAAGTTTATTTTTTTCAGGCCCTTTAAGGAAAAACTGCACGTAGGTCTCTAAAACATAATTTTATTAAACGGAACAAAGTTTATTTTTATTACATTGGTTTTGTAATGATACATGTAAATACATTTTACTTTATGCTAGCCCCCTCATAAATTTAAGATTGTTTAACAACAGCTGCAATGATAGAAGAAAAAAATAAATTAAATCGCAAATGCGGGATATTTTTTTTTGCAGTGTTGCAACCATTCTTGTCCATATACCATAACAAAACATTTATATTATTTGAATTAATACATCTTGCAAAACATATTAGTGTTTTTTTTTATTTTCAATGAAGTTAACAAATTCAAGAGTTTTTGCTTTCATTATTGATTTTCAATATTTTCAGTAAAAATATAGTTACCTTTAGAACTTGTAAATTTTTCATACTTGTTTTCTTCTTTCTGAGGTTGCATATCTTTATATGTTGAACTGTAATGTTCGAAAAAATGTTCCGTCACAAATCATATATTAACATAATAGGCTTCTGAATTTTTTTATGGGATTTTTTTTTGTTTTACTCATTATGGACCTTAACTCTGAGAACTACTTACCCGGACATTCTGTTTTCTAAAATGAAATAAGAGAATAGTTTGACAACTGATTAACATGAAATCAAATTTAAAGAATTTTGAATAGATTTATTAGCAAGTTTTTCCCTGATAGAATTGTGCATACTGTTTGGTGTTCGAATAGCATCATAACTGTTTTCCTGTTCAGGTATATTCTGATTAAGTTCTTCATACTGGGCGCTGAATAAATTAATTTAACATTAGTGATTTAAATTTACACGATGACGTGTCTATAACAAAATTACCCTCAGTAGCAAAATACTGCATAAACGAAGGATTTGGAGAGAACGAACAGTATTCAATATCAAAGTCCATAAAACAAAACAAAATAGGAGCGGAGCAAATACGGACCCCCGAATTATCAGAGGTGGGATCAGGTGCCATGGAGGAGTGTGCGTCCTCTGCTGACCGGTCACACCTGCAGTGTGCTCCTTGTCATGATCGGGGAACAACGGGAAATCCGTCGTCAATTCAGGTTTAAACAATATACTAACAATAAATATTTAAAAAGTCAGTCATCATTTGACTCAATGATAAATTGTATTTGCTGACAAGATCATTGTATCGACAAATTGTATTTGCTGACAAGGTCATTGTATCGACAAAAGAGCTTACGAAATGAGGACTTTAAGCAAGACTGCTGATATTCTTGTTTCATCAACTTGATTGTCAATAATTTACCTACTTTTAGAAGTTGTTCATACGTAGAGCATGCAATTGCATATCGAATCAACTGAGATATACAATGTATAAACGGCGTATGCAGGTGATGATGGTATATTGCTGCATACGTAATGGAAAAAGCAATAACACTAAAAATAAGTAATAACTTTTTACTCACATCTTTTACCTTGAATTCGTTAGATCTATGGTAAGTATTAATTTTTGTGACCTTATAAATTGATTATTTTCAATAAATAAAGATTTTCCTGCTTTTATGAAAACTATAACTGAAATTTCTAACCTTCATACTGTATGCACCATGTCAGATACTGTTTTAAAATAAGGCTTTTGACAAACACATTGATGAAACTAGGACATCAACAGTCTCGCTGAATGTTATCATTTCGCCTGTTCTATGGCTCTATACAATGACCTAGACAGCAAATAAAATCTATCATTGACTCGAATGCTGGTTGACGTTTTTCATACTGATTGTTAGGCTATTTTTAAAACTAAATTGTTTATGGATTTTTCTATTTGCCTGACGGTTAATGCACAGCCGATATGACCGGAAGTTAAGGGATGTTTGCTCCTCCATGGCACTCGATCCCAACTGAGATGATTTGTGCTGTTTACTGGACTTTTGAAATTGATGTCTGAATGTTCGTTATCTTCATATTTAATACAAAGCGTTTTGCCACTTTCGGGTTAAAGACAACATACTGCTTTCAAGACTTTAAATCTTTTTAATTAACAATACCTTCCGACTTGTAATAGATACACTACCTCATCTCTGCTCCAAGACCTTAAATCAAAAGAAAAATGAAAGAAAAGTCAAGTTGCACACATTTAAGAGTCACATTTAGGAAACAATATACATGTAATAAATTTGTACGTACCTGGTAATCTTGAAAGATTATCTGATGCTTTAATGTTCTCCCCACTGTGATAAAAATAGTTCTTATTCATGCATATTTCAAACAATCTGCTTTAAAAATCTTAAAACATATATGCAATGAAAGTGTGGTTAAACATGAGGGTATATACTTAAATAAATCCTTTAGTCTATTGAAAAAAAAGATTGACTGATTGATATTGTGTACTGTGCATCACAATATTTTACCAAAATCAATAGCTTAAAAACTTTAAGTTGACATTTAAAAGATGCTTGAGTTTTTGATTGGCAATAAATATATGGTTTTTGGAGACCGTGTCTTCAAGCGATCTATTGGAATTTCCATTGGTACCAGTTGCTCCCCGTTATTAGCATACCTATTTTTGTATTCATATGAAGAAAAATCTGTCCAAAATCTTAATGCGTAATAAGAAAAAAACATGCTGTAGCATTCAACTCGACGTTTAGATATAGCGGCTACGTATTGTCAATTAACAACAATAATAATAATATCCATTCTTAAGTCGATACGATATATCCTGGCGAACTTAAGACAAAAGACGCCACAAAGTCTTTTTCATATTTGGATATTTACTTGATAAAGAATTCAAAGATAATATAACAACCAAGCTCTTTGATAAAAACGATGACTTTCACTTTTCTATCGTCAACTTCCCTTACTTATGCAGCAATATACCTTTATCACCTGTATACGGAGTGTATATATCTTAGTTGATTCGATACGCAAGAGCATGCTCTACGTATGAACAATTTCTAAACCGATGTAAATTAGAAAGAAACAAGGTTATAAAACAAGAATATCAGCAGTTTCGTTTAAAGTAATCATTTTGTAAGTTCTATGGTCGATACAATGAATTTGTCTATTAAGGTCGATACAATGACCTTGTCTATACAATTTTTCATTGAGTCAAATGCTGACTGACGTTTTTCATACGACAGTGCTACCTCAGTATATTGCCCACCCCCTTATATTGCAACGACCCGTTATTGCGTGGAATACCCCAAGAAAAAATTATGTCTCACTGTGTTAAAACACCAGTCATATTGCCATCCTCCCTTATTGCTATCCGCCACTGGTTTTGGGGAACAAAAGGTCAAATTATAAAAGGAAATCCCTCATAAACAATGCCAATTATCTAGTGGGGATCGGTAATTAGGACGTCAC